GAGCAGCAGGAACACGCAGCAGCAGGAGCGGCAGCAGGAACAGGCAGTAGCAGGAACAGGCAGCAGTAGGAGCAGCAGGAACGGGGAGCAGGCATCAGTAGGAGCAGCAAGAACAGGCAGCAGTAGGAGCAGGCATCAGTAGGAGCAGCAGGAACAGGCAGCAGCAGCAGCGGGAACAGGCATCAGTAGCAGCAGGAACGGGGAGCAGGCATCAGTAGGAGCAGCAGGAACACGCAGCAGCAGGAGCGGCAGCAGGAACAGGCATTAGCAGGATCAGGCAGCAGTAGGAGCAGGCATCAGTAGGAGCAGCAGGAACGGGGAGCAGGCATCAGTAGGAGCAGCAGGAACAGGCAGCAGTAGGAGCAGCAGGAACGGGGAGCAGGCATCAGTAGGAGCAGCAGGAACAGGCGGCAGCAGGAACAGGCATCAGTAGGAGCAGACATCAGTAGGAGCAGCAGGGACCGGCAGCAGCGGCGGTCAGAGAACCATGCCCATGGTTGTTTAAGAGCCTCAGGAAATAAATTAACCTGAATCCGAAACATTCCCATGCGAATAACAGATGTCTCCTGGAGCCATCTTGCTGCTTTGGTTATGGCAGATACGCATGAACGATCACTGTTCCACACGTTCATTAGCTCCAACTCCACTTCACACTCATTGCAGATTCATGTTGGGCCCTTTTACTTTCTGCTGCACTTTCAAAATGCAACAACTGCAGTTTAGTTACCTAATCATTTAATACTAGTGACCCATGAGATTTAATATGCATGGCCCCTCCTTTATCCCTCAGATAAACTAATTTAAATACATTCATTTAACAATAGTGACCTGCGAGTAATAAGATTCAGAATCAGAATCAGAATCAGAATCATTTTTATTGCCACGTGAGTAACAAAGTTACCACTTGGAAATTGTCTTGGCAGAGAGCGTGCCACTTCGCCATTTGCGGCGCTGTGTGCAGCAAGAAACAGCAGAGAGCAATAACATACAGTTCACAGACAATTGGATAGACACATTGTGCTTTTTATAAACCACGGATTTTTTTCTCGGGATGAGCACCTCCGGCGGCCGGCCCAATGTAGCTGTCAGAGGGGGGCGGGATCAGGGAGGGGGTGAGTAGGAAAACAATGAGGAATGGAGGGGAGGGAGGGAGCAAGATGGATAGGTAGAGGGAGGCGGGGGTGAGGGATCCTTGCTGGAGACTGAAATAGTGTGAGTTGTTGTAGATTGTGGGACCTTGTTTATGGCCTTGGTCGAGGAATGTGAGATAAGAGTGGAGAGAAGGCACAGGAGGAGAAAACACATCGCCTGAGAGGGACAATATTGTATGCAATGTAGCAGTCAAAAGCAGGCAGATATTCTATTAATTCCAATTAAACCGAATTACGGCGCCCTCAGACCTCCGTACACAGGGGCAAATCCAAGCCGGGTCAGAGAGTTCAAGCCTGGCAAACGATGTCATTCAATCTCAATTCCAGAGTTTTATGCCCATCAAGTGAACGAGCTGCGAGATCTTTGATCAACTGCTCCACCAACACCACTCTCCTTTGTCCAGCCACAGCGCTCTCAACCACGACGCGGCTAAGCTCCTTGTACATCCCATCAATTTTGTCGGCCAGCAGGTCGTGAATCTTGCGAACTGCCATGCCTCCGAATTTGTGGTAGAAGAGGATCGCTCCAAACCCAAACAGGAGGATTCCCACCACCAAAATGCCAAAGATATATACGTCTTCCGAATCTTCAATGGACAGGGTCGACAGACAGAGGGGCTGAAACTTGTTCCAGCTGTCAAGAGTATACCCCGCAGGTGAAGTCCCGTCCGGGCACACGGGCTCTCCAGACCCACGCTTACGTGTTGAAAAGATAGAATCAATTGCGTTGAGGGACCAGTTAATCATTTCCATTCTGTTAAAGTTGTCTGTGGCAAAACTCCAGGAAAAAAGACAAAAACAGGAGATAGCAAGCCGTTCAGAAGCAGGAGCGGACTAAGACACGTCTTTGCTCGACGGAGGCGGAAGTGAGAGATTAACGCTGTAGATGGCGCCGTGGCAAGAGCTCTGGTGTGTGCCGTCTGGAGCACGCTGGGGTAGTCTTGCAATTTTTCCAACGTGGTTTTACTGCAAGTGGCAAAACATGAATCTGAATTAATGTTTATTTAAAATTATATCCCTCAGACAATAAAGATGAATGCCATTTAATATGCATTGTCCCTCAGTTAGCTCGAATACATGTGAAACGGAGCCTGCAGACCAAGCACGGGGCGAAAACTGACGCCTGCAGTCCAGTGCGCAGGGCAAAAACCAACCGCCTGCAGTCCAGTGCGCAGGGCAAAAAACAACCGCAGGTCAGAACACTCACCACCCACATGCCAGAAGACGTGGGCAAAGCAACGGGACAACGCGGCACCGCCAAGCGGAGGCAGGGACACGCACGGCACCGGGCCAGACCGTCTGCGCGCAGCAGCAGACCACGGGGAGACGAGCAGCATACAGCCCGTGGAGGGACCCCGCAGAGCAGCCCGCAGAAAGAGCCCGCAGAGGAGGAGAGTGGCGGAGACACGCGAACCACAGCGCGGGACCCCCAGCAGACCCCTCCAGAACAACGCATGCATTGCGAACAGGTGCGTTAGCGACATGCACCTTGCAGACTTCAGAAGGCCGGGAAGTGGGCGCCTCCGGCTTTTAACTTGCTGTCCTGGTGGTTATTGGTTGACTGGATGTGGGCGTTGCTGGTATGATGAGCCGAGGAAGAGCAGCCTGTGGCCTGGGCAGCCGCAGCCGGGTCTACCACAGTGAACTTTCGCGAAAGCTCCATCACTAAGGTCCAGTAGGACCTGCACTGACACTTGTCCATTATCAGCAGCTAGTAGTAAGTCATTTGTGACTTTGACTAGTGCCGTTTCAGTGCTATGATGAGCTCTGAATCCAGATTGAAAGACTTCAAACATATTATTTTCCTGCAGGTGGCAGCGGAGCTGCTCAGCTATAAGTTTTTCCAGGATTTTAGATATGAAAGTGAGGTTTGAGATCGGTCTGTAGTTTGTAAGTATTTCTGGGTCCAGGTTTGTTTTCTTCAGAAGGGGTTTGATTACCGCGGTTTTAAAAGCTTGTGGGACATAGCCACATTGTATGGATGCGTTTATTATATTTACGATAGGCTCAATTATCAAAGGAAGTATGTCTTTGATGAGCCAAGTCGGGATTGCGTCTAACATGCAAGTTGAGGCTTTTGAGGATGTGACCACAGAGATCACCTCTGCTTGGCTCACAGCCATGAATTTATCGAGGCCCACTGAAGAGTCTAAGTGGGAAGTCACGTATGCCGCTTCAACCTGTCCACTACCAACAGCAGGAGTAACCTCCTGCAGTTTGTCACGGATGGATGTCGATTTATTATTAAAGAAGTGGAGAAAGTCGACACTGCTCAGTGAGCTTGGAATTTTAGGCTCGATTGCGCTATGGCAGTTTGTGAGTTTAGCGACGGTGCTAAACAAAAATCTACTGTTATTTTTATTCGCTTCTATTAAAGTTGAATGTATTGAGTTCGAGCCCTGCGAAGGGCATTCTTGTAGTTTCAGAGACCTGCTTTCCACTCCCTGTGGACAGGCTCCGAGTGGGAGTGGCGATATAGCCTCTCCAATTTTCTGACGTCCTGTTTTAAAGTGTGGAGTTGAACACTGTACCAGGGCAACGATGATCTAATTCTAATAGTTTTCTGTTTTAAAGGAGCTGCTGCATTTAATGCAGATTTTAAAGACTCCATAGTGCTGTCCACCGTTTGGTCAATGACTGAGGGACTGCAGCAGCTGTGAACAGGTTCACCTGCAGCAGTATTCAACATAGGCTGTATTAGTTCTTTGAACCTTGTGATAGATTTATCATTTAAGGTTCTTTTCATTATGGTTTTATCTTGCGGGACAGGAAAGTCCTCCAAATCGAGATCAAAGTGATCAAGAAATGGTCAGACAGCAACGAGCTTTGACGCTGGATGTCAACATTGGAGACATCACAGCCGTAGGTCAGGACAAGGTCCAAGGTGTGGTTATGAATGTGAGTAGGTTCCTCGACATTCTGAGTAAAACCAACACCATCTAGTACGGCGCTGAAAGCTTTGTTTAAGCTGTCAGTGCTGTCGTCCACATGTATATTGAAGTCTCCAGCTATAACTATGTTTTCCCATTCCAAAACTAGGTTTGAAATGAAGTCAGAGAATTCTGTTAGGAACTCGCTGTAAGGACCAGGAGGTCGGTATAAAACTATAAATAGTACTGCTTTTTGTTTTCTCCACCCAGGACAGGTGATTGAAAGTGTTAAGTTTTCAAACGAGTGAAAAGCATTGTTGGTTTTGGGACTAAGAACCAAGTTGGTGTGTGATATAATCGCAACACCACCGCCGCGACCTGTAGTTCTGGCTTTCTGGTAGTTAACATGCGTCGGAGGAGTGCACTCATTCAATCTAACGTAGTCGTCCTGTTGGAGCCAAGTCTCCGAGAGCGCAAACAGATCCAAGCCCTTGTCTATAATAAGTTTGTTTATGAGAAGCGATTTAGACGAGATTGATCTGACGTTCATTAATCCACATTTAACAACCCTACTTTTAGAACAAACTTTTGAAAAGTCTGAACTTTTATTAAGTTACTGTGTCTGGGTCAGTGTACTTGTGGGTATTTGGATTTTCTTCACTGAAATGAAAATAATAAATAGAAAAACAAGTCGTTTTTCTATTTTCGTTTGCAAATCAAAAAACCAAAAATGAAAAAACAGCCATTTTTCTTTTTATATCCAAGTGAATGAAATTTAATTTTTCAAAATAAAGCTGATTTTCATGTTTGCATTGTATACTGAATAAACAAAAACAAATTAAGACAAAAACGAAAAACGACCCAATATTCGTTTTATGAAACCGGAAGTTGTCATATTCAAGCGCAAAGAGCGCCAAAATTGTGTTGTTTACACTAATAGATCCATGTGTTTACATCTTGAGCTCAACGGAGCAGTATGATGGCATTGGACCCGTACTATGATATGATAGCAGACATGGCAAGAAATGGCCTGTCATCGACAGAGATTTTGGCGAACCTGGGAGTACATGGAAGTGGAAAAGGATTTTCGACAAGAAATATCAGGAAATACTGCGCTGCAAATGGGATCAGTTTGGGAATCCCACACGCACGTCTAGAGCTGGAGGTAGCCCAAGCCATAATGGAGGTAGGAAGATGCTACAAACAAAGCCAGTTTATTTGTCAATAAATGTTTGTATACCCCTCTCAACTGAATAAATAGATAGTTGTGTTGGCTCTCTGTCTATATATATATATATATATATATAGCTTATTTTTTGTACAATAAAATCACCATAAGTACCATAACTTTACTAATAAACTGTATAGGCTTGCAGAGATTGCACTATTTTAAATTAAATAATGATAATACATTTGCAGATTCTTCCAGCCCAATTGTTATGAACCACTCATTCATATAACAGTTAGGTTATATGTAGATCTGAAACTGCCTGTATGTCAGTAATACAATAATCTGAATATGCATTATTTTTAGACTGGACCAAGTTTTGGAAGAAGAATGATGAAGGGGTATCTTTCCACTAAAAATGTGCATGCGGGAGAGGCAAGGATTGGATCAGTGCTGAGAACTATTCATCGGCCATACCATGAAGATAGACGCCAGGTTCAATAAATCACATTAACTCATCTACAACACTTTTTTTTTTTTACTCTTTATTATTTTTTGAACTGCCAACCCATCAGTTGGTGAACAAATGCTTAATGTACTGCACCCCTGTTACCATAAGCAGTGTAATTCTTAAGGTCTGCTAACATCTGCTAATAACTCTGTTCAGCTGTATACTGTATAATATAAATTGAGGTCACCAATGTTTCATATTAATCAGCCAGTAATTGATTATATCTCAAAGTTTATTTAGTACATTGCGTAAGTTGTGTGTTTTCACACAGTATTTCACAATTTTCTTTATGTTCTTGTTTTTTAGGGTTCCAAAAATCTGAACCCCATACCATATACGGCTGAATACATGGGTCACAAGATACATCTAGACCAAAATGAAAAAATTGCCATGTTCGGTGCTACCCATGTTTTAGCCATTGATGGCTTCAGCAGAATGATTGTTGGATTTTCCACAATGCCCATCAAGAGCAATCTTCTCATATATGAAAATGTATTCAGGTAATTTCCATTGTTGTGAATAGAGGTTATGTGTGTGATGTCAGAAGCATAGCAACAGTACGGCAGAAACCATTCCAATAAAGCAACAGAGAAAAATGAGGGGAAAGACTATTTATTTCTACGGATATGGACTCAATTTGGACTGTTAAAGGTGTAAACAACATGTCTACACCCTCTATACCAAGGCTTGTTATCAATTATGATCAGGGCAATGCATTAATTTAGTTTAGTTTATTATTTATTTGAACAGGGACAGTGTACAATATACATTAACCTCAGAACGGAGAGATGCATTGTACCAGGTTGTAGCACTTGTGCTAATTTCCACCTGCAGTCCCTGGGCAGACTGATGTCAACAGACAGTCTTAGACAAATGTTAAAAATACATTTCCCCTAAACAGCATTAAAATTAAACACACACGTCATTCATTCCTAAGCAGTAATTTGCAAATACACTCTTGCATACACACCAATTACAGTACATTATGGGAACAGGTTTGTTTTAAAAGAAGCAATTTTCTGGCCTGGTGTGAAAATAATATTCTAATAATGTAATGGCCACCACAGCATAAAATGTCAAAAAAAACAAACAACCCCATCATGTCAGGGTGAGTTTTTGTGTAGTTTAAACGTTAGACTTGACTTTTTCATGGTATAGATTGCATATTACTGATTGTGTTCTTACAATACGTGATTATTAATATATTTTAAACAAAAATATATTAAGAAAAAAAATGCATTTTGAAAAGTAATTTGAAGGCTTGACCTGGGGTTATTACTCCTCTCTAGTCACTGTGCATTGTATACTAGTGCATAGTACACATTGCATGAATGAATGATGAGTGGTGATCCATAATTATAAATTATTCTGTTCTTACAATAGGCCTGCAATCCTCAAACATGGTGTCTGGGATCAAGTACGTGTTGATCACGGGAAAGAATTCTATTTGACACTATTCATACAAGAGCTGCTGTTGTCATCACATCGCCACAATACACAGAGGCAGCCTTACCTTCAGACTACATCAACAAGGGTGCATTTCTCTAGTTCTTGTTTTCACTATGTTTATCCATAAGGTTAGCTGTTACTTTAAACAAGTGTAAGAAACCAAACCTTTTTCTCTTAATAAGGTTGTAAAAGGTATTGCTTTGTCACTTAATATGAGTGAAATGTTTCCCATAATTGTCACCAGAACACAATGATAAATCATCTTTGGTATTTCAGAATCACATAGTTGAAAGAATCTGGCCTGAAGTCAACCAATCTGTTAACTATCCTCTGAAGACCGCCCTTGTGCAGCTGATTGATCAAGAAGAACTGGACATGGAAAGCAGCCTGGTGAAGTACTGTGTGTCCAATCTAACTGTTCAGTTGAGCCTAATTGGTCTTGAAAGATTGGTCACAACCTGGAACTCCCATAGGATCCCAGGTTTGACGTGATCATGTGAATATGTTTACTTAACAGTAGTATTTAAGTTAACTAAGACAAATATTTACTTTGTTTGGCAGGAAGGGGGGTGCCAAAGGACTTAGCCGTCACTGGGTGTCCCAAAAGAATCCCGCCGACTATCCTACCACACGCAGATGAAGCAGAAGCCCTTTATCGGCAACACATGGGATCAGCATTGACCACACAGTCAATTTTTGGAGTTGACCCATTTACTAATGAAGAAGATAAACGTTCAGTAGAACATCAGTTTGCCGAGGCCTATCCAGATATTTCTAATTTGTACTCAAGTGTTGTCAACAAAGATTACGCTCCTTTCAAAGAGGCACTGCTTTTGCTCATATCCAAAACACAGAATACTGTGTGACCAACTCTTGAAAGGCATATAATTGTGCTCAAGGTTTTTCATTTCATTATCATTACTAAATGTATTATGTTACATTTAATCAAAAGCATGCTGTTGTGAAATTGTGCTTAGCTACAATAGTTTTCTCAAAATGCTTTAATATTATTTTGATACGATACTTTTGTGTTGAAAAAAACTCAATCACCTGTGAAAAAATAAGTGTTCCCTTGTAAATGTGTCATCAAAGTTTTGTGTTGGATTAATCACGGTCTGCTTATTTGAAATTTTACTTTTTTTCACATTGTTTTGTTGCATTATGTAATTACATAAAGTCATGCATAATTATTTAGATGACTACCTGAGTAAAATCATTTGAAAGTAGTTTTTCTCTTGCTTGAGTAAAGGACAGTCATTCTCAAGTTTTCACTCAATTATCACCAGTTCTAGACCGATATCGAGTCAGGAGCTCCCTGGATATGAAGTCTTCATTGGACTAAATCATGTAAAAAACAACTTTTATATGCATTAGTAAAGTGTGAATTAAGTAATAAAATGAGTGAAGTACAATTCCAGATGACTCAAGAGTACTACTCTTAGGGGAACCACTGATTTAGGGTAATGACAAACAACAAATCATTTAGAATAACCCTTCAAAAATAAATCAAGCTGGAAATTGTGTGTTAGTGTAATCCTGTTTATTCAACATGGTCAGCATTGAATATGTTCTGAAAGACAAAAAGTGGTAAATTGAACACTTTGAACAAGCATTTACTGTTGTGAAGAAAAGCAGATTTGACTTTTTTTATTGTTACATACAAATTAAGGTAGTGTTGAAGATCAATTCAATGGCATAGTAGTAATGCAGTTATACCTGAATGTACAGCAGGTGGCGGTAGGACGAGGCTGGCAATGCACAAACGGAAGAAGAAAAGGAGAGCGCGCGCCTAAAACCACACAAGCGAGAAGAGACGGGTAGCGTCAGCATCGAAGCGGTATTTATTTCTGTACTAGTATAATCATAATGGACACATATGTTGTCTTTCGAAACGAAAGAAGACTCCGTCTCAGGGAGGACGACATGTCTTTAGACAACCTGAGTCGGATATTTAGCGTAAGTACTGCAAAAATTAGCCCCCACACACACAATTTCAATGCCATTTCCGCTTAGCCTGAGTTTATGGCTAATTCACGATAGTGTTATTACATGCGTCATTCAGACCACTTTTAGTTGTGTATAAGACTACACTGCAGTTACATTATTTATATTATAAATATTACATTTTTTAAATATATTTTGGTGCAGGTTTCCAGACAAAGCCTGTATCTAACGAATGAGGACAACGTGGTGTTGGTTGCGGGGACATCAGGGATATTTCGTCCGGTCGACCTGTTGGGCCACAACCACTATGAAGTTCATGGAGTGGAAGAAGTAATATCTGCTCCTGTCCCTACCGCTGCAACTGCCCCAGCCAACGCCAACACACGCTTTTCTTTCTCAAGATCAGCAAGTGCAACAGCTGTGACCGCTTCTCGACCTACTTCTAAAGGCTTTCAACGGTAACACTTTAACAATGCATTTTTAATTGGACTATCTCATAATTAGTTGACAATATGTTCTTTTTATTTTATTTTATTCAGATCAATGTACCTTGCTGAGGTTTCAGACAACCGTCTAAACCCCACAAGAATGGTTGTCATTAGATTTGTTGAAGCTGAAGCAAATATTGAGGGTATTACTGTGAAAATGCAAGAGGCTATAGGGGACCACCAGCCTCTCAGTCTTACTGATCCCCAAGGGAATTTGATACTTGACTCGGAGGGAACCAGAGGTTCGTTGACTTCCCTTGATTTTTTTTTTCTTCTACGTTTATACTGTGTAGGATATATATTAGTATTGTTATTATACAATTTATTTCTACCATGTTATTCTCAGTAAAGTATTAGTTGCATATTTTCTTGTTTTAAAAGGTTCTCTGTATTGGAAGCAAAATGCCCGCCGGATTTTTGCCGTAAAGGAGTGTGATTACCAAGAACTAGAGAGGAGGAAGCGAAGGAGGAGGAGGTCATTAAATTGGCCAAATGATACAGAGGCTTGTACAAGATTGAGAGCTAATAAAAGAACCCCACACTCTTTTTTAATTTTTTAGTCGAAAAGACGATGATGGTGAAGCTCTTGGTGAAGTTGCAGAGAAGTTGGAAGAGTTAGTTCTGGCTGCAAGCCATCTGCCAGAAATCACTAACTCATTGAAGGAGCTCATGAGTGTTTCAGGCGCACAAAAAGGGATGTTGATTCCTTCGCAATTGCAGACCGTAAAGGAAGGTTTTTCCTGTGTGATTTGCATGAGTAAGTACTGTACAATTATTGATATATTTTTATAGTGTAATGTAATGTATGTTCCTGATGCACACTCAACAGCAGTTACAATAAGTTATTTCTCTTCTTTTGTAGAGTTCATGGAGGAGCCTGTCTTCACTCTTTGTTGCAAAAACCTAATCGGCTGCAGAGAATGTATAGAACAGTGGCAGCAAAATTCGCCACACTGTGCCAAATGCCGCCAGATTACAGAAGTGAGAAGCACATTCCAAGTGCATGGTCTGTCAGATGCACTGGGTGTGCTTAAAGCCATCTCTGAGGAGTAACACTTATGATGTAATTTTTTTTTCAACAGTGTTTATTTTCTCATAGTCTTATTCAAATGTTTTGCATACTAAAACTACACAAAAACTCCATTATAAGTAATTAATCAGACTAAAACTAGGGCTATACAATTGATCACATTAGCAATTTTATCACAGTATTACACAACGCAATTTGCAAATCACGGAGGAATGCCATTTTAAATTTAAAAATATGATGGAAATATACTTTTGTTTAGGATTATATCAGTGATTTTTCAGTGAACTAATTAAAAATTGTTACATAACCAATTAAAAGAAGTGACTCAAAACACTGTCAGTTTTAAAAGACTCAATTTGAATTAAACATGTCAAAATGAACACTGGTAAAGTTTATTTTTTGTTTTTAATAATAAGTAGGCTACTATACTCAAGTATTCTTAGTTGGAAATGAATAGGCGAATTTCATACGCTCCTACCTACTATATAGTCTGAGAAAGTTAAATTTTATGCAGTTGCTGACTTTTGGGGTTATTAAACGTTAACTAGTTCAGGAGACGTGCAGATCATCAACACCAAGCTTTGTGTGACCGTTGTAAAAACTTGCTTCAAACTGCTTTTGTTCATAACTATTATTGATGTTTAAATAAAGTTTTTATACATGTCCTTGTCCAAACATAATATTTCAAACCATACTCACGCATATAGCTAAATCTCCAAAAGTGGCAATGTGAGCGCAAGCAGCTGTGGTATGCGTCCTACGGATCCAAGTATGCCGTTTGGCACATTTAGGGAATTCCTTTGGATTATGGCAGGCAAACGCCATGGTGTAGGTTAGCTAGTGTGTCTGGGGTAACGGTAATACGTTCTTATACCAAGATTGGCAATCCCTTCGCTGTGATGCGTAGGTGTTATGGGGGTGCGTAAATTTATCCCAACGGCTCATAATTTTCTGCGGCTAATCAAGGGGACCAACAAACTTCCATCTCAAATTAGCAATGGTCTAATTACGAACTGGGCAGGAGAAGGCACGAAAAATGATGCTTAGGATAGATCTCAATGGTATCTCATTATTTTATCCACAACTACTGTCTCTCATCCTAACTTCAGTAGATAAGTCTCTTGACTAAAAATAAACCATCAATACTGTTAACCAGTGATCAACATCTTTAGCTCAGCACCCACCCATTCAAAAGCACCCTTTGACTCGGAGCTCCATGCGCTCTGCTGCGCGCCTGGTAAGTTTTACGCACGGCCTTTTTCTGAGCGGTTTTGGGGCACATGCGCACGGCACGTCCTGGGCACAGTGGCTGTGGCTCCAGACAATTTTGATTCGGGGGGGCAATGGGGGGTCCAGGTCATTTCAAGGGGGGTCTCATGAAAATCAACAGAAAATACAGTGGACACGGCTGATACCTGCATATTACTGCTACTAAACAACAAAAACAACACAGCATATCAACGACTTTGTTTTTAATTAATTTATCAATTGCAGTTTGCAAACAATACCGTATCACATGAACTACTACACCACTGGGTGGGGGTGTCAAATTAGGGGGCCAAGGCGTTTTTTTGGAGGCTCTTGAGAGGTTATACAGTGTAAAGGCGTCTCTGGTGCCCGCCCCGACACGTGTTGCTGCACAGGCAGTACTCATTGAAGCTGTACTCCTTACTATTTTATTGTGTGGGGAAAAAAGTGTGTTTTTGTGTAAACTGTTTATTTTGTATCTTGCTGTATTATTTATTCAATGTAAAAATAAAATCTATAAAAATAATAAAAACAAATACCGTAAACAAATGCCTTCTACGTATGGATCTCATAGACTGTAAAAATAAGATGGATCAACTATAATATCTTCTACGATTTATATTTTGATGATATTTGCGCTTGAATATGACAACTTCCGGTTTCATAAAACGAATATTGGGTCGTTTTTCGTTTTTGTCTTAATTTGTTTTTGTTTATTCAGTATACAATGCAAACATGAAAATCAGCTTTATTTTGAAAAATTAAATTTCATTCACTTGGATATAAAAAGAAAAATGGCTGTTTTTTCATTTTTGGTTTTTTGATTTGCAAACGAAAATAGAAAAACGACTTGTTTTTCTATTTATTATTTTCATTTCAGTGAAGAAAATCCAAATACCCACAAGTACACTGACCTGTCTGACACCCAGGCAGTGTTGCCAACTTAGCGACTTTGTCGCTAGATTTAGCGACTTTTCAGACCCCTATAGCGACTTTTTTTCAAAAAAGCGACTAGCGACAAATCTAGCGACTTTTTCTGGTGTTATTGGCGACTTATCCGGTGTTTTGGAGACTCGTGAAGCACGTATTGTTCTGCTGTCCTCAACGTGAGCCCCTCCCCCGTCCCAAAGCACTTACAGGCGGCCAGTCTCACAGTAGCCTTGCGCAGCAGTCCCAGCTACAGTCTATGGGCGGAGCAGAGAGAGAGAGAGGAGACTCAAAAGCACAGGAAGTTTTCAGGCTGCTGCAGACTGAACTTCAGCTCCACCACCACCACACATCCAAAGCTCCCCGGCCACTCCTACCACCGCCACCCCCCACTACCCCCCACTCCATCCGCGGCAGCTCTGTCCGTGACTCTGTTTTCTCTCAGTAGTGGGTCACATTAAATCATTTGTTATGCCAAACTATGAAAAAAAAAAAAAACTTACAAAAATAAACCTAAGTAACTCTGCCAGAGTGGGTCTTTTGGGTCACTTTGCCGGTCCCAAGCCCGGATAAAGGAGGAGGGTTGGTTGTAGAGCTAGCAATTTCACCCTACATAACAATCTTTTGATTACATTTGCTGTTATAACATTTAACAATACAGGACAAAACTGATGTGTGTAATGTGGATCTAGACAAAGCATTAAAATCATTAAATGTTGTTAATGTTGAAATTATTTTTGTACATTTGTAGTTCTAAACATATTTAGGGTGTTTTTACTCACTTTTGTCTCTCCCACGACCTTATTCCTCTCTCCTACAGCGTCCGTTACAGTTATTTGCAAATGGCAAATTATGCAAATTAGGCGATGACGTCATTTAGCGACTTCTAGCGACTTTTGGGACAGCCAATAGCTACTTTCCTTACTGAGGAGTTGGCAACACTGCACCCAGGTCAGATTTCCTCGCATATAGTGCTTTAGACTTCAAGCGGGGAACACACACAGTTTCAATCTGACTAGGTTCTGAGGCTAGTAACTGAGCACACACAGGCACACACACACATGCACACACAGTTTCAATCTGACTAGCCTCTGAGGCTAGTAACTGAACAGATGGGGGCTCAGAGGTTGTGGCAGAGCAGCTCTGCACCCGGGCCTCAGTTCTGCACCGTCATTTGAGCCGGGCAGAACAGTTTAGAGCAGGGGTGCCCAAACCTTTTGCTTCCAAGGGCCAAAGTGAAAATGTGCCAGTGGGCCGCGGGCCAAATACACCAATATTACACGTGAAACACAAATAAATGTAAATTTAATAAAGTTCCTTCAATTATTGAATTATTAAATACATAGATTATTATTTATCAGTGAAAATTGCAGCCGAATGAAAACAAAACAACACAGCCTTAGTTAGAAGAACAAACAACAAGTGCAGCACAAAATTGCAAATGTGCAAATGTCAAAAACTAAACAAGAAACAACACAATCTGCTGAAACTAGTGGGATACATGAAGCTGGTCTTTGGACATTACTAGCCTCTCAATGTTAGGTTGTAGCTGGCTCACTGACAAGGTAAGTATGTCATCAAGGTGTGAATCAGTCAGGGTCCCTCTCAGTCTGGACTTGTTCAGGTTCATGACACTAAAAGTCTGCTCACATATGTAAGTGCTGCCAAACAGTGAAAGCTTCACCTGTGCATGTTTCTTTATGTGTGGGAACCTTTGTAGTGAGACCTGTGTGTAAAAATCCTTCAGATTCAGCGACATGAATTTATTTTTTAGCTCTGTATCACATTGGAACTCAATTAACTCCATTTGAAGGTGATCTGGGACAGAATCAGGGCTAACATTGAAGGGACAAGAGAATAGTTCCATATCTCCAGCACTTTTTTTAAAGTCCATGAAACGCACATTAAACTCCCTGTTTAGGTTGCTGACAAGTCCTGCATATTCAGACAGCCTCTCCTGTACCAGGTTGACTTCTCTCAGACTAGGGAAGTGAGCCACGTTTCCTGGGAACAAATAAACATTCGTTTTGTTTTTACCCCTACAAATATATAAATTCATTCACCACAGCAGAAACAAGAGAATGGCATATGCTAATCATACAACGGGGAGAGCGCACGGATACAGTGGCGCACAAATAGGACCTGTGCGTACTTACAGTAAATAAAGAATAAAAACAACAGACTTACAAAGAAAGCAATAAAACGCAGTTAAAAAGCATGCATGCGCTCTCCGCTAATCACGTAACGCGGGGAGCGCACGAATACAGTTGCGCATTAACAGGAGCTGTGCATACTTACAGTAAATTAAGTATTTACAACAGACTTATAAAGAAAGTATTAAAAGGCATGCATGTATGTATCCTTACCAGCAGATAAATGTCGAGAGAGTAGTCCCAGCTTCATTTGAAAGGCCTTCACGTGGTCAAACAGCTCCGTTATAATCTGCTCCTTGCCTCGAAGCTGAACATTCAGTGAGTTGAGCAGGCCCGTTATGTCCACCATGAAAGCTACATCACAAATCCAGCTGTCATCTGTAGGGACTTGGATATCACTGCCCTTGGTTGTCAGAAACTCTGCGATGACATGGCGCAGCTCAAAAAATCTTTTGAGCACTTTCCCTTTGCCGAGCCAACGAACTTCTTGGTGGTACAGCACATCGCTGTATTGCGCATTGACTTCTTCCAAAAGGGCCCTGAATTGGCGGTGTGAAAGAGCCTTGGAGCATATGCAGTTTATGATTTTAATGACGTCGCGCACCACGTCTCCGAGTCCAATTGATTTGGCACAAAGTTGTTCTTGGTGGAGGATACAGTGGTATTGATTGAGCTTACCTCCGCATTTTGCAACTTTCTCAGCAACAAGTGTGGCGAGGCCGGCTTTTCTACCGATCATGGCAGGGGCACCGTCCGTTGTTATCCCAACCATTTTCTCCCAGCTCAAATTGTACCTCTCCAGCACCCGAGCGACGGCCGCAAACAAGTCCTCGCTCTTTGTAGTTCCACGCAGCGTTTCCAATGCAGCCAGCTCTTGTGAGATTTCCATGCTGTCGCTCACTCCTCGTATGAAAATTAAAAGCTGCGCTGAATCAGAAATGTCTGTGCTCTCGTCACATGCCAGTGAAAAAACAGAAAATCCACTTGTTTTAGATTTAATTTTCTCCTTAATGTCCCGACTCATGTCTTCAATACGGCGGGTCACCGTGTTACGTGAGAGGCTGATTTGAGAGAAGACTCTTTCCTGGGATGGACACATAATTGAAGCCGCTGTGGACAGACACTCTTTGACAAACTCGCCTGTTGAAAAAGATCTTCCCGTCTTGGCAATAAGCGCTGAAATTTCATAGCTTGCCCTGGTCGCGCTATCCTGGACAGCTGAGGGCCGTACTAGAGTGCTTTGCTGTGAACAAAGTTTAGCTAGTAACTCGCTGGACTTCTTCTTTCGTGCCTCGCCTTGGTACTTCGAAAACACTGTACCATGTTTTGTCTCATAGTGGCGACGAAGATTGTACTCCTTTTGTACAGCCACAGATTGATTACAAATGAGACAGACAGCCTTGCAATTAATATCTGTAAAAAAAATATTGATCTTCCCAGGCGGATTTAAAATGCCTCTTGTCTGTATGCCACTGACGATGACGCTCCATGTTGTCCATGCTAATGCTGCAAACTTGACACCGCAAGCGCAATCCCCCATAAGGCCATTGCGCTTTGCGCTTTTATATGTTTTATCAAATGTATGAAACATATAAAATTACAACAAAAATCACAGTAGGCTGAAAAATATAGACAACATAAAGGTGCCTTGTACCCAATATTTTTCATAAGTGTTTCAAAAGCCTTTTAGTCTGAAAGTTGAAAAACCATGAGTGAGGCATGTATCCCAAAACATCACTTAAGTACTAGACGCACCACAGAGGTTGAATATTATAGATAATTTAATTCTCGTCGACAGACATCAAAACGAATAACCAGACAATAAATATATAACTGAAGGAATTGGGAGGGCCAATCTAAATGGTCTGGCGGGCCAACTTTGGCCCGCGGGCCCCACTTTGGGCACCCCTGGTTTAGAGCCAGGGCCAAATTCTTAGCCAAAAGGGATGTACCCGCCAACGTTGGGTGGATATCATCCGAGCGGATGAGACCGGGCTTTCCCCAAAAGGCACTCCAATTGTCAACATGAACAACACCACTTCGAGGGCACCAGCCAGACAGCCAGCGGTTGAAAGCCGAGTGTCTGCTGAATGCTTCTGCACTGCTAGTGCTAGGTAGGGGCCCAGAGAAGATGACAGTGTCGGCCATTGTGCTAGCCAGCTTGCACACCGCGGCGACTTGCAGCTTCAACACCTCAGACTGTTTCCGCCGAACGTCGTTACCACCCGCGTGAATAACAATTCGACGGAAACGCTGCTTGTGGGTCATCATGAGTCTCAGATTCCCTTCAATATCACCAAGCCTGGCCCCAGGGAAGCACCGAACAGTGGCTCCTGGGATCTTAACACCTCTAACAATAGAGGAGCCAATTACCAGCGCATCAGCGACTCCATCGGCTCTCTCAGCAGCTCTCTCAGCAGCTCTCTCAGCGGCTCTCTCAGTGGGGCCTTCTTCCCCGCCCGGCCGCGCGGGGGCGCAGCCGGACAGAGCGTCCCAGCGATTGTAAATGCTAACAGGAGGAGGCCCAATGGGGACATAACAAACAATGGTTTTGGTCTGAGTCTAAACAGAAAGACAGAATGTTAATAATGTTAATTCCATTTTATATGGATTTATTGTTATAACAAACAAATACAGTACATATGTTCACTAAGCTGTCATTTATCTTTCCATTCAAACAACCATTTACAGAAAAATATGGCATCATTTTGCCAATAGTTTGAAATGTGATTAATTACGATTAATTCATTTTTAAGCTGTAATTAACTCGATTAAAAAAAATTATCGTTTGACAGCCCTAATTTATAGTTATTATTTATTTGTTGCATACAAAATATAAGATATTACCTTCTGTATTATTAAGCAGCTCTTGGAGAGAGCCAGCTGCCTTTTTCATAAAACCCCAATGTTGCTTTATCTCATGAACAAGGATAATTTCCTCTTCCTGGAATCTGTCCCGAAGCATGACCTGGTCAAAGACCTTCTTCTTTTCGACACTTAATCCAGAGCCTAAGAAGAATTACATTGTAAACAGAAAGTGAGTAGCCATAACAACAAAACATGAAGTGAATGTGTATTTTTTATATCATATCATCAGGGTCCTCAGCCAGCACTTCATTTGCAGAGGGAAGAGGAGTTGATTCATTTTTCCCATTATACTCTCCAATGGCCTCCTCCAGCTGAACCTTCTCCTGGGCAATCTTTCTCCTCTGTTTCTGACGGCCTTTGTTTCCAACTAGAAAAAAAAAACTTAATTTACAATGGATACCTTCACACAAAGCGAATAGCTAGTTTGCAAATAGCCATCTTACTGCTCTGGCGATATAAATAATATTTTCTCTGCTTGATGCTGAGATACAGTGCCTCAATGGTGGATTGAAGCTTGTTGGGGCTTGAACTTGCCTCTTTGAGATGTTAGAAATAATGAAAAACATCAGACTAAAAGAAGAAACAAGCATATTCATTGAAAATGTATATTACCTGTATTCCACTGCTGGACGTCAGATACCCATTGGGCTATAGTTTCTTCAGTTAGACCACATTCATGAGCCAGCTTGCTGAGATCCACAGAAGTTTCCTTTGTCCTGAGTGATGTCTGTGAGAATTCATAGTTGTCTTTATCATCATTATTATTATTCATATTAATAATAGATACAAATATTCAAACTTTTTGGTATCTTTTTGCAAGAGACTTATGCAGCCCGCGGAAATTCAATTTAGAAGACGTCAGCCAAAAGCTACCCCCTCCGGGCCGACTCGCATCCCCAGCCTATCGCACAGCAAACGCCCCCTTCCAATCACACCGTGCCGGACAGGCCAGCCGCTTAAAAGCGGAGAAACTCCCACTTACGGCCTCCCGAAGCCTCGCAGTGTATGTTAGCTACCAGCGCCAATACACCATGCAGTCTTCACCAAACGTCCGCGCGCCCGCGTCTCCTAATGACTCGGCGCCTGACTCCCCTTCCATCCTCCTCAGCAACGTCTCGCCTGTGCCCCCCAGCCCTCGTAAGAGTGTGCGTCTGGCTTCCAGGGACGCAGGGTCGGTGCGCACTTACCTCGCGGCGCGGGGTGTCGTGCCCGGCCCTGACGCTACGTCGCTCCAGCTCCAGAGCCTCTTCGACCAGCTGTCGGCGGGCTCTACCTCACCCCTCCGGGACTCGGTTCCCCCTCCCCCTCCACGCGGCTTCGTGCCGTCGAGCACCAGGCTCCCGCCGCTGTCCCGGCGGTTTTTCCTGCCGTTGTCCCGGCGCCCTCTCCTATGGCGGCGTTTCCCGCGGACTCCCACGAGGCCGGCTTCTCCCTCGGCACCGCTGTCTCCGCTCCAGCGCCCGGTAGGCCCTACATCCATACTTTTTCCAATGTGTCCCCGCGCCTCCGTTCCAAGATTCTTCTGGGGCGCTATGTCAACTTGGTCTCCCTCATTCTTCCCTCTCCCGAGTGCGACCGGCAGGTGGCCGCTTCGGACCTTATCACCGCGGTCGTGAAGTCTGCGGATCCCCGGTTGTCCCGTGAGCCGAACATTGGGGAATTCCTCGTCGCTTTCGGGGTCTACCGCGATGTCATATGCTCCCTGTATCCCGAGCGGAGGCCTGAGCTGGACTCATACCTAAGCCTGATGGGGGACCTGTCCCTCCGGTACGGAGGCAGCATATTTTATCGCTACCACAGGGCCTTCGCTGCCAAGGCCGCGGCCCTCATCACCCAGGCGAACTACAGAGTGGACTGGGCGACGCTGGACACCGAGGTGCTGCTTCTACTGAGAAAAACCCATACGAGTGTGATCAGTGTGGAAAGACCTACAGCTCTGCTTCTAATCTAAAGACCCACTACAGAACTCACTCAGGAGATAAACCATACGAGTGTGATCAGTGTGGAACATTTTTTACTACAAAAGGACATCTCGAGAGCCACAGCCGAATCCACACTGAAGAAAAACCGGTTCAACTGTGACCGATTTGTGATAAGAGTTTTACTCAGAGTGGTAATCTCAAAGATCCATCATAGGACCACCTGGAGATAAACCATACGAGTGTGAACATGTGGAACATGTTTTACTAACCAAGGACATCTCGAGCGCCACAGCAGAATCCACACGGAGAAATAACCGTTCAGCTGTGACGAATGGTGATAAGAGTTTTTCTCACAGTGGTAATCTCCAAAGTTCATCAGAGGATCCACACTGAGAGAAACCAGTTGTCTGTGAAAAGTGTGGAAAGTCCCTTTTACTCAAAGCTCGTCTCTTCAAAAACACAATAAAACCTGTGAGAAGCAGTGTGAAGACGCAGCAACTGGAACAAAGTGAAGGAGACAGAGCGAGGCTGCATCATGTGAAGCCCACATTCAGAACTCTACAGCAGGTCTCACACTTTTTTCAGCATGCAAGCAATTTATAAAATGATCAAGTCAAAATGATCTACCTACTAACAGAAAATTGCAAAACATATATTTTTATTCTAAATATATTGATGGTTCTTTAGTCTTAAAATTATCATGATGTACATGCAAAACCGCATGATTATGAAAGAATTTGCATCCAACATAACCGCGCATCTGCGTTTTCAATCAACATTCAACATGTGGGTCCTCTGACGTTCTGCGTTGCGAAAAAACCACAGAAGTGGGCGAGCATAGATGCAGACGCCATGGCTTGTCAGCGGCACTTACAGTCATGTAGAAACTCAGTGTGAAGACCTATGTTTACAAGCAACTGACCCCCGTCCTCCGGTTTAGTCCTGGTTTAGTCCTGCCTTTCACTTTGCTGCTCTCTGATGTGGAGCGAGGAAGTCCCGTTGCAGTGAACCGCTCTCAGCATCGGTCACGTAAAAACTCCGTTTATCTCTGTCTACACGCAAAGCAGAAATGAGTACCAATACACCTTTGCGATCGACC